CAGACTCTGCGTAGTTAGTGGCAGAGTCTTCGAACTTAGTGCTAGACTTGAACCAACATCTAGCAGACTCTGCGAAATTTTGGCAGACTCTGGCAAAATCTGGCAGAATTTGCGTAGGAAGTGGCAGACTCTGCGAAATTCTGGTAGACTATGCATTTTTGGCAGACTCTGCGAAATTCTGGCAGACTCTACGAAATTCTGGCAGACTCTGCATTTCTGGCAGACTGCCAATTTCTACGAAAGTCTTCCAATTTAAAGAAAAATCATTTTTAGCTATACCAAGTATTGGTTAATATGTGGCAAACATGTTTAAAATTACAAAATTGGTGATTATCATAAATATATATCAATTTAGGGGACAATTTATAAAATTCTTAAAATTAAACTTACAAAATTTAACAAATAAAACAAAATTCATTAAATTTTGAAAATGTAAGAAAAAAATAGTAACTAATTACTTTTTGTGTAAAATCCCAAGTTTGTAAAGTTACAAAACTCAAAAACAACAAAATAATTCTAAAAATCTTAAATATACAAAAAATGCATAATTTYAAATTTAATATAAATAGTTAATTCTATGTCGTTTATCTATTTTATTATAAATTGTTGAAATTTCCATGTTGTGTTATATATGACATTCATTTTTTTAATAAAATGCTTTTTTTGCAGGAAATAGGTGAAGTTGAGGAAAAGAGCGGTACCCTTGACGTATATGTTGATGAGGAAGAAAAAAGTGGTACAATTGATGGATGGATTGCAAATGAGGAAAAAAGTGGTACGATTGATGAATGTGGTYCAGATGAACAAAAAAGTGGTACAATTGATGGATGTGGTGAAGACGAGGCACATAGTGGTACACCTTATAGATTTCGTGAAAATGAGGCCCAAAGTCGTGCATATGGAGGATATGGTGATGATGAGCCACAAAGTTTTACCTTTTCCAAACAAAGTGGTTCTATTGATGGTAGTTATGGATCTTATTCGGATATATCTTTCCCTGAAAGGATTGAAGAGCAAATGAATGATGACTTTGAAGTTACACAATCTAAAGTGGAGAACCTAGAGCGTATTGAGGTAGGGCAAGTATATGATAGCAAGGCAGAGTTACAACATAAYCTGCGTATGATCACAATTTTTCAGAATTTTGATTATAGAARAGTTAAGTCGACGAAAACTTTGTTAGTGCTGAAATGTTATGTCACTGGTTGTTCATGGAGGATTCGAGCATCGGCAATCAAATTATCTTTTGAGTTTAAAGTACGGAAGTACGTAGACACCCACACATGTTTTGTTACTGACAAGTGCTCTCGTCATCGACAAGCTACGTCAAAATGTATTGGAGAGTTGTATTTTAAGAGTTTTCATAAAGTTGCTGTAGGGATTAGACCTATGCACATCATGGATACGATAAAGGCTCTATATGGTGTCCATATTGA